ATGTCTAAAAATTCACGTTGATTTTTTGTGAATTTTTTTGCTGACCGTCCTTTGCATTTTTTTCATATAAAAAAAAAATTCCGAAATTTTTTTATATGGTTATCGAAGGTCGAAAGTGAAATTCGTATTATGAGCTATGCAACCGTGTCGAAATTTGCGTTGACTATCGAATTTTCTGTCGAACAGAATTTTGCTTTCGATGGTGTAGCGAAGTGTTAGAAAATTGTAAAAAGTGCGTGATTTTGCATTTGTTTTCTTACTTTTTGGCGGCTAGACACTAATTTTAAACAAGTTTTATTAATTTCATGCAGTTCTAACGTCGTGAATACTAAACACAAGCTCGAAAGATAGACTCAATCTGGGAACTATTTCGGGGTCTTAGAGATTTTCGGGCTTCTTGGAATTTATCGATATAATAATCGATATTTTTATAGGTTTTGTTATCTAAATTTTTATAAATTTTTGTTCATATTTTTATCGATATTGATATCGATTTTTCTGTCGATATTTCTATCGGATTTGTTATCAATATTTTTATCGGTTTTGTTATCGATATTTTTATGGATGTAACTATCGATAAAGATAAAAATAGAGATAAAGGAAAACAGAATAACATAAATGTAATTAGAACGAACAGGATAAGGAAAGAGGTAGGGAGATAGAAAAAAGGCAAAAAATATAACCCAGCAGATAATTTAAGTAGGCCTTAAGTGAAGCCATTCTAAGAGGCCTACCCAAGAAGAGCTGAAAAAAGTGCTTCTTGCATGCCTTTTAGAAGGGCTTATCCATTTACAATTTACGCGAATGCATAAATTCATATTATTTAGTATTACCAATGAATTTCGATAAACATTTTAAGTTTGCAATAACACATATTTGATATAAACCTTAAGCAAATACTTAAAAGATGTATGATTTTTTTGAATTAAAGATGCAACTTTAAAAGGACTCCTCCAAAATACCTTCTGAAGTACGTCCTATAAAAGCCCTTCTGGAAGGCCTTCTATGGGTAGCGAAAGAAGAAGCCCTTCAATTTGTGCCTTTCTATACAAAAAAGAAAGGAGAAAGGAATGTAGAGTGGAAGGCCTCTTGACTCTCAGGAAGGCCTTTCGGAAGGGCTTTTAACTCCTGAATTACTGGGAACCTTAAGCAAAAGCAGACGTATATGTATGTATGTATATATGTTTATTGGTTATGTGACAAACGAGATGCAACGTAAGTTTCACTTCTCCAGTGTGGCGCAGGCGCACTTACTTTTTTCAATATCATTTCAGAAACGAAGCGCTTGGAACACAAACGCTGCTTATTGAGTCTTATAAGGATTGGACCAATGCTGTTGTGAGCAAGCAAATTCACCAAGAAAACCCCACCGAAAATAAACAAAATTCTAGAATTATATATTTGTTCGTTGTTGCATTAGACAGACTATTTTTTAGCATTCTAGATTTCGTCATGCAAAAGAAGTTGAGCAATTAAAATGCAGCAATTGTATAAAAAAATATTCGGATTTACTGCCTTTAATTCTGCAAGCCATGCATTTATTAGACGCCTTTGCAAAAAACGTGAGAACAAAAAACATTTCAAAACCGTCAAGTAGGTGTCATTCTTGCTGTCGAATTTTCACAATCCGGAGCACTTTTTTATCAATTCGCACAGGCCCTAAAATGGTGAGTTCCCCACCAAATCGAATATCTCTTTTTTATGATGGTACAATGCCCAAACATACATACAACTTTGACCAGTTTTGACTATTTTTCTTTTATTTGTTTAATGTTTATTATTATCTTTTGTAAAAATGCAGCTCATTATCTAACAAAAACTATATAAGTCTAAATTTCAAACTTTGTAGAAAAATTAAACAAAACTTTACGCGCATTTTCCTCCATACAAAGTATGTTCGACAACTGTTTTTTTGTATGGAAGAAAATAATAACGCCATTGTAAAAAAAAATATCAACAATTTTTAAGCAAAAAAAAAAACCGACTCCAACTCTCATATATCCAATGATCGGAGTTAAACCAAATTAGTATGGGACCACCTGTGAAGTAACACCTTTCCTTTAAGTTAAAGTTATGCGGTAACATCCTTAAAAAAAAATAAAAAAAATATTCCAACGGATTGGTAACCTTAACCCTTTTGTGAAGTCGGTTAAAAATAGCCAAACCTGGTCAAAATGTCTTGTCCCTATTATTTTTCACATGACTTTTTATACAAATAAACAGAAGTATTTATATGCAAATATTTGTTTTTATCATGTGCAAAATCATCCATGTGGCAGGTCATTACGAAATCAAAATCAGCCAAAGCATGAACGGTGGAATATGCACCGGCTGTAGCCAACAACTAAGCTATGGCTGCCGCTCTGGCTAAGTACCACCAAATTTGGTAATCGCCCAAAGGGCATTTAATAAACCGAAATATCGAAGAAAGCGTCTACGGAAATGCGTTAATTGTGCCTTTAAGGCCGCAGGAGGAATCAGCGTCGACTGCTTGTGCAACATAGACACTACCGCGGACACAAAAAGCGAAGCAGGAAGACTGATGCTGCGTCCGGGTAAATCTTTCTGTAAGTTGCTCTTCAACCGTCCCGTAACTGTTGATGGGCGCGACAATCAGATGATGCAAC